AAATGGATTTTTGGCGGCAAATTGACGATTTGGATGTTCACATTTTCCTCGGTCATAAATTGTCATCGAGGATTATTTTTCCCGTCGATACATGTTAAGCAAATATGTAAACTGACGTAACTCAGTCCAAAAACATAGAGCAAAAAAAAATAATAGTAAATAAACGCACATCCCAGAAGAGGGAAGTTTCGCTGATAAAATGCAAAAACTGCTTGCCGTGTTAAAGTACACCGTGGGGATAGCGCGAAGAGTAACGTCGGCTTTGATACTTTATCGACGACGAGATTGCTCGCGACGAGAAATTCCAGTGATTCCGGTAGAGCAATTTGTAACGCTACATCGCATGTAAGATAGTAGATCTGTTGCATAGAGAGCAATAGCTATCGAGTCGCGTGCATCGTCTTAAAAGGCGAACGTTATGCGGAAAGGTATACGCGACTTATTGAAAAACAGGAGCTCGAGACGCTAAATGTTCCCTCAGGGATGAGTATCGATTTAACGTCGGCTTTAAAGAAGCGTTAGATATTGCTGTAAAAAAAAGAAATAAAAGAAAGAAAGGAGGAAAAAAACATTCCTGAGCGATTATCAGCAAAGAGACGGTTTCGAGATATTCCGGTGGGAAAGAAAAGAAGAGAGCGCAGATTCTGCGACATTTGGAATTTCCGTGATAATTTTGGAGGGGGAGAAAACGATGAAAAATTGCAGCGCGGTCAATAACATCTGAATAACAAAACTGCAATAAGGTCAGTAACATCTGAATAACAAAAATGTGTGGCATTTTTTAGGGCATCCGAAAAAATGTAAATATTGCGAAAAAATGTAAAATATTGCGAGCGAATTAATAAAACATAGAAAATATAAAATAGAAAATATAAAAAAAAGAGTTATTAATTTTGTCGCGAGAAATTAAAACAGATTTCATATGCGCTCTATTTTTTGCGAGCTACGATCTCATATGGTAAAGCCCGCATTCTGCACAACGTCACACTATTTGGTAAAATGCGAGAATAATTGGCGTGAGGCCGGATAATGGTGTCTCAGAGCGCGGCTAATTTACCGTTTTCGCGAGAGCGACGTATCCGCCGGACGTAACTGAAATATTTCGTCTACGGCACATACGATATTATTGCTAGGGCGTGTTCCGCCGCCGCGACGAGTGAGTGCCAATATTTCTCCAGGGCTTGTCGCTGTTAAAATCGCGCAAATTGTTGGCTTTCATCAAGACGAGATCGGCCGTGACCGGGTTATTTTTAACCGATGGTTACTATTTGCCGACCGGTGGCTTTTCCAGTTTCGCGGAACTCTCTCTCTAACCGCGAAGTAACGCAGCGGGACGCGTCCGTTACAAGCGTGCGACAGAGAGGCCCGAGTAATTTCAACGGCCGAATACGGAGAGATGGTGAAGAGGAAAGTACGGCGAGATGATATACGACGGTGGTTATTTGCGCCTGCCATCTTTGATCCGGGACTCTCTCTGGATTGCGTCTGTTCGCTTTTCCACGAAACATTATATCCCCTCGAGGGATATTCGTCCCCTCTCGTATTTCGTATTTGCGTCCACCTTTTCGCAGGCTCTGCGAGTGCGTTTATCAAGTGTTCCCGTGTGAAAACGTGCGGCTGAAAATTTATATTGGAGACACCCGTAAAAAGAGAGCACGGACGGTCGCACATATATATTTAACGTTTAACATTTAAGCGTTTAATATCAAGCTCCACCCGACATAAAAGAATATAAAATTATAGATTGTAATTATAAATGGAAATATTGGCTGAATGAATAGTCGCAAACGAACTAACGTTCAATAATTTTTTTTATAAAAATTTCTCCACAGATTTATATATTCTGCTTTCACAGGTCACATTATGCTACTGTGCCCCCGTTTTTCACATTTTTTCTTTTTCTTTTTTTTCATTTCGATTCCATTACGTGCGCGCGTTATCCACGGACTCAATTGTCTGTGGATTTTCAAGTCGCGAAGATAATGGCATTTCACTGCAATCGTATTTTTCACATGGGACCGATAGTCCTCACACTTCCCTTAATTTCTCTATTCGTACATTCTCTATGGCAGTTGCATCCAGACTGTATGGTCGTTTTGCAGGAGGTACATCCGAGGAATTGCGTTGACGGAGACGATTGTTACATTGGATCGTTTTTTTCGTGAGCTTGTGCGTCGGTAATAATTTATAGCATTCTTTCGCGCATTTTAATATCACTTTCCGTCACTTTTTCTTGAATATCTTGAGCCGCGCGACGGTAAGGCGCCGTTAATTAATGGCTTGTCCGGAGGCCTCAAATAACGCGCGATAGTGACATGAAAAAAAACATGAATCACCGCGAGGAACGCATCAAAGTTGCCCTCTCTCGCGAAACAAACTTCCAGGGGCAATTTCTCTCGTATCGATATTTTCTTTCTTGCTTGCTTACCCATTTAGCCGTATTTTTCTCTCTTTTTTCCCTTAAAATTGAATCGCGCGTATTCATTATCGCGATTTCATTATCGACAGGCAATAACGCACGTCATTGTTATGTGCGCGACTTTTAATGAAGATAAACTCAGCGAATGTTTATGCGCGTAATATCATTCCCGTATATTTGATATGAACGATGTGCCATCTACTGCAACAATATAATGAAGCGCGTATAAAGTATGCGTGGGATATTGAAACATTCATTACATTTTCTCTTCTGTGCATATCAACATTCTTTGTCGAGATTCACAATTTGTCGAATCACAATGACAAGATCGATTCGCGACGACGTCTTGCGCGCAAACAACTAAATAGCTTAATGTAATTGAGCGTTAATATTTGGAATGTCCGCGAAAATATGTCGAGACCTCCAACTTTCTATCTTTGACTGTCGGGGAATACGGGTGGTGTAACGCATATCGCAATGCACGGAAACATACTCTTAGGACAAGATACCGGCTAAAAATAACCGCGGCTCGTCGTTTCTTCGGATAAACATGGCGATCTATCCGCGCGCTAGAAAACGAACGGTGGCCCGGTTTCGTCGTAATTGCGATTATCGTCCGCAATTTCCGCGAGAGCTGCTACTTTAGTGACTTCGTTTTATTCTGCGTTGCCGACGCGAATGCCGTATATGATGAATTTTGAGTAACGCCGTGTGTAAAAAACCGCAAGAAACTAAGATCCGGGGATCGGGAAGGATAAAACAGATTCATAGCCACCGCGAAGGCGCAGCGCTGAGTTAAAAGTATCCGCAGTTAAAAGTGTTCTCCGTCTCGCGATAGACGCGAAGAACATACACTTTGAGCATATATGTATGTAAACTTTTTTCATTACTTTCAGTTGAATTTATTCTGAGCGCACGTTGCAAATATTATAACACACTCTCTGTGGTGTTGCAGATAAAATCTGTTATTGAATAATCTCGGGAAATTGATAGCGATTGCTGCGAGACAACCAGCGAAACTTCAGTAACTTATTCTAAGTTTAGAACGACTTATCCGTGCAAACGAACGACCGACATCTTTCTGATCGATCGTAAGCTAGCTTATCCGAAATATCGTCACTATGTGTGTGGACTTCCGAGCCAAAAAATCATTATCTTCCTCACGCATTTATTCTTCTCCCTACCAGTTATGTTAAAGGATTTTAAGGACGACGGGGGCAACATACGTAGCTAATTGCGGCGTACTGTCTGAGCGCGTTCTCTTAGTCTCACTAATGGCCATTTTCACCATCTTCGGTTACCTTAACCGGCTAGTTATTCCGTTGGAACTGACCAATCGCACTTGTCGTTTAACAAGATTAACCAATCACCGTGCACATTTAATCAGTAGTTAAGATAACCAGAGATGGTGAAAATAGCCATAAATGTTTCTAAAAATCAGTAAAGAAAGACGTCAGACTTTGTACAAAGAATTGTCTAAAAGTGTGTCTGGGAAAGAATTTTAAAGAAGAACTATTGGTAAACTCTCTTTTCCTTCGAGACGTTATCACTGAAACGAATTTCGTACTCTTTTGAAGAAATTTGATCGATTACTTTGAATATTTTTATAAGACATTCTTATATGGATTTTGCTCAAGTTGCACGAAGGAAAACGTGCGAGCAAACTCGCATCTGGTAGTCAAAGGATTCATTCAAGATTCAGAAAAAAACGCGTTCCCATTGGTTCGCTTCTGAGTTCACGTTTCAATAATAAAGTTCACACGCGACAAAAGAGAGGATGCAGCTCTCTCCTTTGAAACGTGCCAGGCAACAGAATTAGAAACATCTTACCATTCTCAAGAGAAATTCAATGAAATGAGGCGGATAGCGACGAAACTACGACGGTTCAACCGTGTGCGTTTTACATTTTCTTGTGGCATTGAGCAGGGCAACTCGCGCAATTTCAACTGAGTTTCGCACATATTGCTCTTCGCGATTAAACAGAGTCTAACGTAACCTAGGATTTACGCGCGAGCTAGAGACTTTTTCTCGCGCTACTCGCGACTTTTATCGTCCCACGAAAAATTCTGATATTAAAAAATTCCACTAAACATATGTATCTCCCACGAGCGATTTCGATGGACACGTGTGTGTTTCATTGCGACGATAATAATGCCAAAATAGTTATTTGGATTACCATCTACCCGATCGTTTCGTCGCAGTCTGATGAGTCACGGCTGTCTATCTCTCTATAACACAACTAAAGCGCATTCAAATTGCACAAGGCGCTGTAACCTAATAAATATCAATGTACAACGATAATAGAGTATCTCGGTGCACACTGGTGTGTGCAGGAACGAGTTCCAGCGCGCATTTCCTTCCATTCTCTCAAACGCGCACACTCACGAGCATATTCTGCGTGGTGTAGTGCTATGTACGAAATTAATAGTCGACAATGCATTGTGTAGATAGAATGCTGTCGGCAATTGTGCTCCCGTGAGGACGTTACGTAAGAAAGAAACGTGCTATCTAGTTGATTCTCCGCGGGACGTTTTCGCGAAACGGGGAGTGTGGTTGCAACATCTGACTTTTATTCTCTCATATTAATAATTCGCCAACGCGGATTTTCAACGGCTCATTTATCTGTCGGTTTGCATTATTTTATCTACTTGTTGCGTTTGTTGTTACAAACTTACTCTATGTAAATTGTCTTCATTAGCGGCAGGTGTTGCGCTTTATTCTCTTACCAGCGTATTTCTCGCTTCGTACTTGGCAGCAGAATTTTGCGCATTAAACTGTAAACAGTTGAGTCATATAAAAATCACGAAATAATAAAATTTTCGACAAAAGATTACGTACATAGGCGAAGGAACTTTGCGAGACATCATGAGGAGCTCCCGATGGCGATAAAATTACAATATACCCGTTTTGTAAGTTGATTCTCTTCTGGATCTTATGAATTCGACAACCGTTTTCTTTGCATATCTCAGTCCCGGTATATCTTGCGCGTCTCTTTTGACATCCTCTTGCTTTCTTTTCTTGTGCTATTTCTTTCACGGCACGATTCAATAGGAAGCGGAAGTTTCGGAATAAACGAAGGTTTCTATCGTCACGTCCTGTAGGTTGTTATTCCGCAGGAAAAAGGTATAGGATATACACAATGGTGTTTATATTTCGTCCTCAATAAATATTGATAATCTTTTTATGACTTTATTTAGAAATGACAATCAAGATTATCACACGCGCGTGACTATAGTAAAGAACGGTCAATGATCAGAGATGTAGACAATTTATCGACAATTTATTTTTAAATTCATAGTGAACAAATAAAGATATCACGATTTATTATTAATATATGAATGAATATATGAATAGAAACGTCATCCCGGTGCTTTTAACACAGACGGTTTTAGAGAACATGCGCGAGAAACAAAGGAATAACAGTATTTCGTTAATCGTGCAGTCAGCCGCGCGTTAATCGATAAATTAAAGCGGCTTATAATGGAATAGGGCATTCGAGATCGCTTCACTACATCGATTATTTGGACGAATATATTCGCAGTTATTGATTAATAGGACATGAACCTTCATTAGAGTACCGTTCACTTTTCTCGCGTCTTACAGTTACAACGGACAGTAGTGTAAAATTGTGGACATAGATTGAGCAACGTATTGCTTACTCAAGTACACGTGTTCATTTTCTGGAGTACATATTCTTGTGTCAGTTTTATATCTTGAATAGATTTCTTGATGGTGACGTAGACAAGAAATATATGATGTGAAACTACGATCAAAGAACTGTCAGCAACCACGTAAAAACGACGGTAAAAGTTCAACTTGCCTGTTCTCTTTTAGATATATTTGACATGTGGACAATTGAAATGACAATCGGAATGACGAGAAAGAAGGTGTGCATGTGACAAGAATAACCACTATATCAATATTATCGCTATAATTATAAATTTTATGCACATGTAAACTCCAGCAGCATCATTAACGATACATTCATAATCAAGGAATTCTGAGAGAGAATCTCTGCGCCCTAATTGCCATTATCTCTGCATTATATAAAAACTAAATTATATTAAAAATTAAATTACATTAAAAAATGTATTTATATAAATTGGACGACTTAATAAAAAAAAGTGATTTATCTAAGAAGGTGCGGAAAAATTTCATTGCTGTAGGTAGTAATATTTTATTGAAAATTAGTAGGTTCCTTCATATAGAAACACTTGCGGTACTTCATGATAAAATTCTTAATTAAATCGAAAAGTTTAATTAAGTTTCGATGATAAGGGACGATGTAGACTAGATTATCGAACTTGTCCGTGGATTATCAGGCGAAACACACTAGGGAATATCTTGAAATTATATTTGAACATGTGACACATGCGTACACATTGGCCGTTTTCTCTATCATTCATTATTAACAATTTTTGTAACGAAATGAAAATAAGATATCAATTTCACATCTCGCGCGCAAACGTTACAATTAAATTAAATTCTAACCCGTGCTCGATGTAGTCACTAGCATCGACGTTAATATCGGCTTTGTCGATTAGAAAATTCTCTGTAATAAAAGTTCCGAGGATAATTCGGTTCTGAACAGTATACAATCATGCTTCAGAGCATGAATACAAATATACGTACAAAAGTGACATGCACATGATGTCATGTGTAACTTACTATTATAATTAGAATTATACGAATATACGATTTTTGACTTTATGCTCGCATGCAGAAATCGTACCAGTAATCTTGGTTATAATAACCAGGCACATATGACACAGAGTGTACAAGAAATCACATATTGAGGGCATGATCTGTTAGTTTTATTTGATGAATATCAGAATCCGGAGAATGTATAGGCGTTTCTATCGACAGCGCGACGTATATTTCATCGTCGAGCGACCCGATATCCAAAATGCAAACGTAACCGATAATAGTCACACTTTTTTTCCTCATCGTTTCACTACCCTTTCTCCCGTAGTTGTCGTTTTGAAACTCTCAGCTTACCGCGCAATTCTCTCATCCTCCGGCTTGCCAGTTTGTCTATAGGAACTTCGTGCGCTATTTTATTCAGCAGAGCGCTCGCGAGCGGCTACGTCATGCGGATTTCTATGCCATTTGAACTCTTTGAGATGCACAGGATAAGACGCTACCTGTTTCTTCTACCTGAGTTGCAATTTTGCACACAACTATGAGAAATTCTCCGGAAGCATACGTCGAAGAAGTAGTCCGCGCAGAAAGATGGAACGTATGATACACGTCATTGTGCGGGGAACGCGCTAAAGACGATACGACTCTCGGGAACGTCCTCTCATCTATGTACATATAAAACTGGACCTACACACTTGTGCATACGCGTACAATACAGCGTCCAAACAGTAAGTTAGCCCGACAGAACGCGCAATTCAGAGCACCCGTTCTTACTGTGTCAAGACGAAGAGCGGCATGATAAAGACGATGGCATTAGTCGCTAAGAACTGGTCGTAGTCGACGCTGCAATTTGTACGTGCGCCACTTGGAAACTTTTAGATCGCATGTTTCACATGTCAAAGTCTTGGATTCCGAGGCGCGATTATTCGCGCTAAGTGTACGCGCCGAACTTCCAGGACTGTAAACAGTACGTAGTATCTATCGATTTAATACTTCGCCGATACTTCGAGCCGTCAACTGTTGTCGCTTCGGCTATACAGCTTTGCGGCTTATGAAATCGATACATTAGTATAGAGCGTATGTGCGGTTTAACGCGAAAACTGAGCTAAAGAATAAATTCGCGACGTCGTTGGCAATAATTTTATGTTATTGGCAGACTGTGAACGGGAAGAATAACGCTTGAAAGTTTCCGCCCAACTGACTTCGATTTCTGATAGGATATTTTTCTTTCACCGACGCTTGACCGATTAGCTAAACTAGTTTTCTGCTTCTAACGAACGCTATCGATCATCGTGCACTTGGCAGAGTAGAGAGTGTAAGAGACAGCTGATATATGCACCGGTTAATAATGTATAGTTTCTCTTGAGGATTGCGAGCATCCAATTAGCAAAATCGCAATGTAGGAAGGAAAATAATAATGCAACATTGTGAAATAATATGGACCGAAAACGTCAGAATGGCTAAAAGTATTGCTAAGTGCAATACGACTGAACTAGTCGTATACTTAAAACATCTGAGAGAAGGAAAAAAGTGCTACAACGAGTCTATTAACTTGGCATGTTTGTGAGACTCAAAGGACACTTCTTAAGAACTTCTCTTGGACGGTTCATGATAAATCCACGCTAAAGCTCTATGAAATTTCGCATCGCGTCATGCTCTCCTCTTTCTCTTTCTCTCTTTTTGTAAGAAAAATATCAAACAATATTTCACGCTAGTCGCACGCTACACTCTTTATATTATACGACTCAGATCATATGTATGTAAATTTTCTACATCACATAATGTTTATTTAAAGATGCATTCTCAAGCATGACGTTACAATAGTTTTGAAAACATTAAACAAAAAACAATATTATAAACTATTTTTGCAACACATCTTTGGCAATCACGAAAATATTTAGCACGTAAACATATATTTTTATTTAAAATAACCATGATATTTGTTTGTATATATAATACAACAAATAAAACAATAAATAAAACAATAAATTAAATTAAATTAAATTAAATTTAACTTAATTAATTAAGTTAAATTTAATTAATTAATAATTAGATTAATTAATTAGAATTTAATTTAATTAAGTTAAATTTAATTAAATAAATTAAATTTATTCTTGATATAATATTGTTACTTAAAATAAACATGATATATGTTTGTTTATTTGTGTTATATAATATAGGAAATAATAAATTAAATTTAAATTTATTTTCGATATAATAATATTGTCGCAAAAATATTTTAGAAATACACTCAATCAAGGCTTGTATAAATACTTCTCTAAGCGTCTGTAAGTATATGGGAGACAAAGATTGAGCAAGGATAACAGCAGAGAATCAATGCCAATTTGCATAACTCTCTTCGCTGAGAAGATAAGTGCGCGAAGCAGCGTATTTATTACCACAAAGTCGATATTGCAAACACGCTAATGTAAATATTAACCATAAAACAGTAATCACTGTTTTGGAAACGGATGTGGTCGTTATATCATATAATACTATGAGAAAAAATGTGTCTAAATTCTATATAAATTACGAGTATGATGAGATTATATTATTATATTATTCACGCATTTTTCAAAATTATAAATAATATCCATTCAAAATTATAAATAATAATTCATTCTATAGAAATTTCTGTTAAATTCTCCGAAATGATATTGAAAAATATTTTAAAGTATTAAAGAATAATAAATAATACGTTATTCATTTATACCACGTACGCGGCTTCCTAATTATTCGTGCGAGTATATATTTTGATTTTTTCATGTCCTATTATACTTTACCTTGAATTTTACTGGTTTATCCACATTAATTAATTGTGTAGATTTTTAAATAGTGACTTGTCACGTAAACTGAAAGTTCATTTTTATTCAATATTGTTGAATCGGCTGATTGAAAATCATAATGTTTTTCCTCGATGAGTTTTGCAACGAATTCCATGTATAATAGGAAAATATATCTTATGAGACCTGCTAAAAAAACAAATTCTCTTATTGGGTACGGAATGCGAAATTTATTGAAGAAAAGTATTGTAACCTTTAATCAGTCGATTGTACATATGTAGTTGGCTAATTATCTAAGATGCATATGGATGTAAAATAATCTATCATCCAGGATTTTGAATGATACATAAACCTGTATTATTTGGAAGGTTTCAATCATAAACAAAAGCTTTGATAATGATGAAATAGTTAACACAAGCGTATTGTCGAACGCAGTGAAAGGAATATTGTGCCGTGACGATAAATTAAGGCTTTTTGTCACTTGCTAATGTAGCAATAAATTGATTGCGTTATTGAAGTAACGTACAATCCGATTGTAACGCGGTCGACGTTACCGCGATCGATTCCTGATTTATCACGCTCGGAAGCGCACTCTGCTTGATAAATGAAACGTGCGATAAACGAAACATTTCCTTTTAAAATGGCACGGGTCAAATATCGAACCTCTCCTTAGGGTAGGTACGCGTGTCATCACATTTATATCTGGATGTGACTTAAATTTATCGTTATGAAAAATTGACTAACGTCACTTTCAAAGCGAATAGCTTCGTATGTCCCAGATTCGCGTCAGTTTCACGAACTCGTTGAACGCAAAAATAACTACGATAAAACTACGATATCTATTGAAATAGTTACGTTATTCTGTCAAAGTCTTAATGAAATTTCTCATTGATTCTCTTGAAAGTTTACAGAGTTTGTCTGAATCGATTTGTGTGTGTTTCAATGGTCTTAAGTGGGGGGTATTGCATTTTTCTTTAATTGTGAAGTTTCCAACGATAGATATTTTATTAGTACTTGGTTTAATCGAATTTTTGAGCAGTTGAAAAAATCTATATTCTGTTTTTTTTTAATCTTTTATTGAATGTTTTCCTATCTTTTAGGTATGCTATGTAATCGTAACATCTTTTTGCATTTGAAAAATCTCGAAAGCGACACACATACAGGAACAAATTTAGCCGATTGATTGCTTTTGTTTTCTAAGTTATCTGTTCCAGGAAAACGTTCAGATCGAACATCTATATTGCTTTTGGTTTAATATATGTAATAAATGTAAATTGTCGAATTTATGTCTTATGAATATCTTTAGAGTCAAGTACTGAACTGTGACACGCGACCTTTGTCTCGAGAGGCAAATTCACCAAGTACTTCATGCATATTGAGCTATAATGTCAGCATTCAAATTTCATACGCGTTTTAGATTGCACGGTAATGATAGAAGCGCGAAATACAGCGCGGATCCACTGCGTTAAACTTTGTAAACGAAACGCATTCCACCCGGGGCAAAATCGATGAGAATTGCATTTGATTCGAAATTACCGTGGAAATTGAAGTTGTCGAGAATATGCCAAGAATATCGAACGCCGCGAAAGAGATCGAATTAATTTACGGAACGACGGGACGAATGACAAATCGTTAGATCGCGCCACTCCTGCAATATTGCATTTTATCCCGTCGATTAAATGAAAATGCTTCGTTGCTACATTCTATGCTTGATTTTACTAGCTCAAAGAAGCAAAACTTTACGCTTGCGGAAGAGAACGAGCAAAGAGGATTAATGTTTCATCTTGAAGAAAACGCAATCAATTCGAATTAAATACTCTTTAGATATTATCCTAGACTTTTATCAAGATAGTGTAAAGAGAAACGACGCTTTTATCCTCTTTGTAAAATATGTTGTTACTTAAAATACGAGTAAAATACCTTGACGAGAAAGCGATTCTGTCATAAACATAATCGACTTGTAGTATTTTGAAATGTTGATGACGTTTCTAATAAAAATATTCAGTTATATAAATATTACTGCGAAATTATATTCGCAATTATCTCACGAGACTAAGAAAATTGGTTCAATAGTTAGACAATAAAATATACCGATTAGCGTCTTATCTGTTTTTATATGTGACCCTCGATTTTCATACAATATCAGACTTGGGAATTTAATGAATGGGCAGAAGATTAGTGCACGAGAATTTTATTTTGTGAAATTTTCCGTCAATTGGAATAGTTACATTATTCTATCAAAGTCTTAATGAAATTTCTCATTGGTTCTCTTGGAAGTTTACAGAGTTTGTCTGAATCGATTTGTGTGTGTTTCAATGGTCTTAAATGGGGGATATTGCATTTTTCTTTAATTGTGAAGTTTCCAACGGTAGGTATTTTATTAGTATTTGATTTAATCGAATTTTTGACCAGTCGAAAAAATTTATCTATGCATGCTATCTAGGTATGCTATGTAATCGTAACATTTTTTTTACATTTGAAAAAATTCAAAATGTATATATTAAATATAAAATAGCCGAGAAATAATAATGAAGATAAGATAGTTCATATGTATTGTTTAAAATCAATTCTTAATTCTCTTAATTTTTTGGGGTTACTCGAAATTAATAAGAAATAATTATCAGCAACGAAAGTTTTACATTTATTTACCCTCTCAAAATTGTTTGAGAAAAGCTCTATATTTAGTTCAAAGTTTACATGTAACAATAAAATTATTTGAAGAATGTGAATGGGATAAGTAATGTTGTAAAACTTTCGCTCGGTAGGCAAATTCTTGATAAGTCCGACAACGCAGCATAATCCATTCTAATTAATTACGAAACATCGTCAATTGAAGAGGATCGTATACATTTTCGCGTAACCAAGTTATTAACCAAAAAAACTTTGGTAAAAACTGTAACCAAAGGCTAAATCAATCTCAATGAGCAATGTACACACGTTTCTTTCCTTGTTTGTAAAGACTTAATTCGATACACTATTTTTTCTGTTTTTTAATAACGGATAAGCTGATTAAAATCCCTTTGTAATTAGCTTTCGGGTCCCGTGTCGAGAGTTCTGCCAAAATGCCTTAATTGACGAAGCACACATAGGTTTGACGTACCACCGTGTTAGCAAGTGAGCAAACCGCAACCGCGTGCACACGTTGCATGTAGTTACTGCTAAAATTAATAAACATGAAAATAAT